ACTGCAGCATTGAGCAGGATGGAAGCAGAGTGGAGAGTGGAGATTGAAGACAGCAGCACTGAGGAGGCAGTGACTAGAGCAGGAGTATACTGCAGGTGAATGTGTGGGCAGAATGGGTGATGACCTCCTTTTCTGGGTGGAGCAGCTGCCAATTTCTGGTTCTGGACTAAAGTACTCTTATTCTCTCTCAATGCCTCATTGAAACAGAGAATAGCACCATTCTTCAGAATATTCTTCAGTTCAAATAATTAAACTGAGTTATGATTGGTTCATGTTTCTGGTCATCATTGTTCTTTTTTGGGAGACGTGCTCTGTGATCTATGCCTCTGTGTGCTTCCTATCATTAAATGTTTGCTCTTTTACATCTTAAAAGCGATAACATGGGTTTCATAGGATAACATGGTAGCAGGGGATATTTGTTCCTTGAGATATAGTTGGTCTTGACCTCTCCAGACTTCTGACTAGTATTGTTGCCATTTTTTTTCTTCTAGGTTTGAACTTACTTGCTTTCATCATCATTGTCTTCTCCTACACCAGCATGTTTTATTCAATCCATAAAACAGGAGCGCAGTCAGCAGAGAGGAGCCTCTTCTCTAGAGAGGTAGCCATTGCAAAGCGCTTTTTCTTCATTGTGTTCACTGATGCCCTATGCTGGATCCCCATATTTCTGATGAAGCTACTGTCTCTCCTTGAAGTAGAAATACCAGGTAATAAGTCAAAGCTTGGTGAGTTTGTGTAGTAACCATAAAGTTGACTGCAGTCCTGTGTATAATAACACATGATCAGTGATATCTATTGCCTTTTAAGTTGGAAGGTTGTAGGTTCAAGTCCCAAATCAGAAACCTGAGCACAAGATCTAGGTATGATGCTCCTGTTCAATACTGAGGGAGTATCACACGGTTGAAGGTGTTGTCTTTCAGTTAAGCTGTTAAACTGATCCCTTGCCTACCTTCCCAGGTGAATGTAAAAGATCTCATGACACAATTTCAAATAAGAGGCAATAGAGTCTTCCCAGTGCCATAGAACAACATTTAAGTACATATGGATTCATTGCAAATTCCAAAGAAATTAAAAGCAAACTGTTTCCAGTAGTTGAGAGGTCAAGAATGAAGGCCATAGATACAAGATTAAATACAAGAGAGTATCAGAAGTGTCTTCTGACAGAAGGATGAGAGATTGTGGAATTAACTTCCAGGGTTAGCTGTTCAGACTGAAATTATGTCAACACCTAAGATTAGACTGTGCAGGTAGATAAAAGAAAAGGAGATGAAGGGATATGGAAACATTGTAGACTATCATGACAAAGATTGATTGCTCATATAATATATAAATGCTAACAAAGACTAGTTAAACCCATAAGTGGTCTGCATAATAATGTGACAAATTAATCTTACATCTAACTAGTAGCATAATGAGTTTCTTCTATATGCTTCAATTTTTTGAGGCAGATTAAGATACCATTGTGATTCAAGGTCAAATATTAATCATAAGGCTGGTTTTGTTCATGGTCAGTCAACAAACAGGGAGGGGGACAGTTAGCGCAGTTGGCTAGACTATTTGTGTGTGGATGAGATTAATACCAACAGCACAGGATTAGATCATTATTCCCACTGAGGTTGCATCAGGGCCAACATTCCTTCTAAGCTGTGTGCATGTAACTGCTCTGAGGGTCCACGTGGAAGCAAACATTAGCAGGAACACTGCTCAGGACTGGCCTCCTTACCCTACCCCATAGTGAAAACAACGACACTTTGCCATGGTTCAGCAAATAGTCACTAAGGGATGTGCCAACAGGCAGAGTATTCCAAAAGAAGAAGAAACATAGAGGTCTGTCATTATGACTGGATTCACATGGTTCAGGCAGTACAAACGTCTGTGAGGAATTAAATAATGTATTTGCTTTATTTCCAAACATCAGTACTACTTTAAAAAAAACATTCCTGCAAGCAAGATTGTTAAATAATCGCATTTAACATTTGCCTAATAATTTCTACTGTCATGTACATGCGCTGTTTTAATGAAAATGGAAAACAATTTCCCCTTTTGGTTCACAGTCTAGATATTCTTCATAGTGTTGATCACCCCATTCTAATGTATTATGCTGAAAAGGTAGATGAGTTGTGCAGTTTTAGAGTAACTATAATATATTGCACAAATTTGATCCCAGAATTTCCTGGTAATTTTTCTAAAGCTTTGAAATGACTATTTGTGTATTATTAGTCAGTAACAAAATGTAGTATTTGGACTGATGATAAATGTCAGCCCAGAAAGAGATTAAAATCACTGCATCAGATAATCGATGAGATTCATTAATAATCACATAAGTTGAAGATACTTAGAGGCAATAGTGGAACAATTACAAGCTATTGATTTGTTCCTGTCACTGTTGATGATGTCCTCTGAAAGTGGAATACTGTGAGCAGTTTTGGGCCCCGTATCTAAGAAAGGATGCACTGGCCTTGGAGGGGGTCCAGAGGAGGTTTACCAGAATGATCCTGGGAATGAAAGGCGTGTCATATAAGGAGTGTTTGAGGACCAAAAGTGTCTGTACTTGATGGGGTTTAGAAGGACGAGACTTCATTGAGACTTACAGAATACTGAGAGGCTGGGATAGAGTGGACATGGAGAAGATGCTTACACTAACAGGAGACACTAGGACCCAAGGGCAAGCCTCAGAGTGAAGGCATGACCCTTCACAACTGAAATGAGAAGGAATTTCTTCAGCTGGAGGGTAGTGAATCTATGAAACTCATTGTCACAAAAGACTGTAGAGACCAAGTCATTGAGTGCTTTAAGACAGAGGCAGAGGTTCTTGATTAAAAAGGGGATCAAAGATTAAAGGGAGAAGGCGGGAGAATGGGGTCAAGAAGCATATCAGCTAAGATTGAATGGTGGAACAGACTCGATGAGCCAAATAGGTTAATTCTGCTCCTATATCTTACGGTCTTATGAATGACTTGATCAGATTCCAGCTTATAAAATATCCCTGGCTCCATCTTCTATAAACTGCTGGAATCATTCCATTTCCAGGAATCCATAATGCTATAATTATTTATTCTTCTTAGAAAATTCTTGCTTCTGTTTGATTTTCATGTTTGACAGGGACCGTAACTTCTTGGGTTGTAATCTTCATCCTGCCAATAAACAGTGCCTTGAATCCAATCCTCTACACAATTACAACTGCATCCTTTCAGGAAAAGCTGAAGCAGTGTTTGTGGAATCAAGAGCTTCTTGGACCCAAAAAGAGCCTCACAAGCACAACACAGATGAGCAGTGTGTAAGACAACCAATCCTGACAGCATCAAACAAGAGGATATTAACATCTAACCTCCCTAGATGACTGCTAAATAACACAGCAACTCTTTACAGCAGTGAGTGAGAACTACCATCTACCTCTCACCAGGAGCAATGCTGTGTAAAACAATTACTCCTGACAGCATATGTTGAGGACGCTTTACCACCTCACTTCTCCAAATGAATGTCATGTAACACAAATCATTCAAATAGAGTTAATTGAGGAAGATTCATCATTTTAAGTCTGGACAAACAGTCACGGTGTAGCACAGCTATTTGTGATGACATACCATGAGAATTTTATTATTACACTTCTTTTCATGAATGGGTGCAACATATATTGATAGAGCTTTTGCAATGTAACTGCTCATCAAGCAACTGTATTTAGCGTACACCACGAGCTCTATTAGCACCAAGTGAGATAAATGTACTTGGTGGTCCTTTCATCCATTGCTGCAAACACTGGCCAGTATAAAGAGTCAGCTCCCCACTCATACACTTTTTCGCGTTTATTACGTTACCCTTGTTTTCCTGTTTTAAACTCTGAAATTGCCTGGCTTTCCTATTGCAGATCCTTATACTTAGTTATGCCTCTGTTTTTCAACTCCCAATCATACCACTTTGAATCAAATACTATGTTACAGTCTTTGCTGCTCAAGCACAACTGTCTGTAAAAAAATTTTGGATGTGAGTAAATTGTGGGAAAACATTCTACCACATGACTACAGGCAGCCAGTTCCAAACTTAGTCAAACTTAGCTGCCATACACGGTTGTGTCAGATGCATGGCCTAAATGTAGTCAATGTTCTTATGTTGTGGATATAAATTAACCATATTTAAGAACTGAATTGATGGAATTTGTAGGGAAATTTAAAAATGATGTTAATGTTTTACACTTTCTCAGATTCTACAGAATTTAACACCAACTTCTTCAATAATGGCACTGCTTGACCACTGTTGAGTGTGAGCTCCTTTGCTATAGTAGCATTTGAATATATCTAGCTTACAGCATACAATGTAGAAGAACCAGCAGTGATATAGTGACCTGTAGAGTGCCACACGACAGTGATAAATCCCTTTTTTACACCAGATATCTACAAGATCTAACACATGAATTGTACATCACAGACTTGAAGTGAATTTCTCCCTTTTATTTGACTTAAAGGTATCGAAGCTAACATTGAGTCAAACACAAATGGTACACTATCAGATAGAAATAAACAATTCTCTTTTACTTGGTATGTACCATACTGTAGAAAGTTTGACACTTGTACAGTAGCAGAGGGGAGTAGTTTGTTCCTTTTTTTTTCCAATTTAAGACATTATTATTTTTCTTTGGTTACATCATATTATTAGACATTATAATATATATTGTGCAAATCATAGTAGTCAATGTAAATTGTTGTAGTGTGTAAGTATTATTGAGTGGCTTAAGCTGGTTTTGACCCTAAGAGCTACTCTAGGGACTGCTTATAATATTGGTGTGTACTACTGTGATTGTTCATATTTGTACATGTCAATTGCTGAATTTATGCTGTGCTGCAGGAAAATATTATTGTTATCCAATGTCTACTGTACAAGTGCAGGGTATTAACACTGAGGTCCAAGACAACATTTCAGCAGAATGGTACGAGAGAATAGAGTCTAAATTGAGACCAAATATTTATATGTTCTTGAAGTAGACCCAGAAACACTACACACAATTATTTGGAGAAGAATTATTGATGCTTACTTGGTGAGTACAGCACCAAACTGAAACTTGGTGAAATGTTATGCAAGTTATAATTATTTTGTGGAATTGGCTTTGAGGTTGCAGGTGCTGAGAATGTAGATAAAAGAAAGTAACCCAATGTTCTATTGTGATTAACAATGTGTTCAGACACAAAGTCCTAAAAGACAAGGTAATATTCCTCATTACAGTCAGCAGTCAGTGCCATATATTTAATGTTGTTTTCTTCTTGTTTTTATCAACTGGTCCCAATTCATTTCACTGCACCTACACTATACTAAATGCATGACAAAAGGCTGTGGATACTATGGACATGCATTGAATGCCTAGTTTGCTACATAGGGTCAAGTGCAGAGAATTTTTAAACAATGGATTTAACCCATCCTAGCCCAGACTGACTGTAGGTTATGCTGAGATCAGACCACAGATCAAATCTGGATGCCCCTTGTCTGTATATATTAGTGTCTCGTACAGCATTGCATCAACTGAGCCATGGGGAGTTATTTTAAAGCAACTTGCCAGATGGGAAATAAGCAAATGAGGTCTGGCAGTGATTTGACATCACCCTCCCTCCCCCACCACCACAAACAAATTTACTCTCCATTGACTCCATGTGAGAATAAAATCTTATGCAATGTGAAATTGTTGTGTGTCCCAAAGACAGTTGTGTCCTGCCCAATGGCTTAGGTCAAAGTGGCTTTCAAAGTCTCTTTGACAGAGAAGAATTGGGGTAATCCCACCTCAAGCTTACAAATAAATGAATTGTTGATGTGTTTTAACTTTTTAATAGTTGGCTCACTGGACTGGGAGAGACAGTGACAGATGCTGTATGGACTATTTAATAAAAGCCTACTCACTTTATTCGTGAAAGAAAGGTCAGGAGCAAAGGAACTATTACTTGTCAGACAACTGTTTTGACACAAGATATTCCCTTTATGTGTAACTGAAGCATGTACAAAAGAGTACCAAATGATTTTTAAATGCTATAAAAGCTTTCGGTATTCAAAGTTTGATGAGAATGTGGAATACAGTGATGTAATTCCACAGCTATGAATTCTTAAAAACTATAAGGAGGGATTTGTGCAGCAGACAAAGGAGGGTAGATTAAACTAGGTGTAGATAACAGCTGCACAGGCAGACCTGTTGTGTTAAATGCCCCACACCATTGCTGCAGTAATTTGTGATTTCATGGTTTACTAGTAACAGTTGTCTTTCTCTGTCACTGCATCATGTGCTTTTTTTTGTTGCAGGTTAGATTGCAGGTGCAAGCCTATAAAAATTGTGCCATTGGGGACAACAGTGGGATCAACAGTGGGATCAATTGGGTTGAGGTTGGCAAAGGTTGGGAGGGGGATTTGTGTCATGAATCATGTGAAGAAAATCTGCTCCCTTCATTCTCATCACAGTATTTGTGCTTATCACTTAAAAGTAGTTTGGGGAAAATGTGGTTCAAGTAGCATTTTATATTGCTTCTGGAAAGCATTCCGCAATCAGATTAGAATGGAGTGGAGACAGGGTCATGCCAAGAGCGAAACATGGAACAAAAAGAAAGGTTTGAATTGTAAAGGATCTGATAGGAAATAATTTGGAACAGGACTAGCAACAAGAATGAAGAACTAAACGTTAATAGGAGACAGCACAAATATTAAGTTGTAATAATGCCAGATCTTCAACTAAATACTCAGAAAATTAAGTGAAAGAAAATACAGTTATTAACAATAGTAGAGAACTCAAATCAGGCAATAAGGAATCAATAAAGTTGTTATTTACATCTCCCATGCATTGCACATTCTGAAAGAGTAGTTTAAGCAAATGTTGGAGTTTTTTTAATATATTACTGCAATGATGGGGAAGGAAAATCATTATCATTTAATTTAGATTTTCAAAAAAATGAACAGAAAATCAAACAACAACTTACATTAATATAGAATCTTTTCTCATAGTAAAGCATTTCAAGATGCTTCACGGCAGCATTATCAAACAACATTTGACACTGGGTCACATAAGGAATTATTAAGAAGTGACCAAAAGCTTGGTCAAAGTGATAGGTTTTAAGGTTTACCTTAATGGAAGAAAGTGAGGTGACAGGTAAACATGACTAGCAACGGGGAGACCTTTTGGTGACCTTAAGTTTACAAGATTTACTATGCAGCAGGACAGCCAGAGAACACTGGAATGGTCAAGACCAGTACAAACTGAAACTAGTATTAATATACTGAGGAAAGATAAGGGATATAGTGATAAGTAAAGTAAATGGGTTAACAACTAACATGAAGAAACAAGTTTGTTTGTCAAAATAGCCTTTCCTGTTCCTAGATCTACCTAACCTATAACCATTCTAATCAACAT